TTTTTATTTTTATTTTTAATTTGGCAAACTCTTTTCACAGGATAATGAACAGTACTTCCCTTAGGCATTTTAACAATAACAGTTTTGTTATTATTAGTCATACTAACAACAGTTTCGGTTTCATTAAATGTAGTTTGGAGTTTTCTTTTTCTGGTCGATGAATTCATATCAGTATCAGAGGCTATAGCAACTGGCTGACCAGCCTTATAAAGATTCTTATGACGATGAACATTTGCATGTTTAAGCATGTATTTTCGAGATTTTTCTAGGTGAGTATTAACTTCATTATGAATTGCAAAGACTTTCTCTAGATGATTTTTTATAGTTTGAGGTGTAGTTTGTATTTTATCTACTTCTATTTTCTGAAAATCAGCAGGATTAAACTGTTGGTATACTCCATGAAACTTATATCTAAACATTACTTCATGGGGAGTTTTACCATAAGAACTATGTAAAGTAGTATTATAAGAAAAAACAAATTTTGTTAAGTTATCTTTCCAATTAATATTTTGCAATTAAAGTTCTTCATTCCATAACATTTTCATTAATCCATGCCCAATAGTCTGATTCAAACATTCAACTTGCCCTTGTGACATTGGATGCTATGGGTGGTCATACCGAATCATAATTCCTAAAGTTTCACAAATTTGTTTAATTATATCAGCAGTAAATTCCTTGCTATTATCAGATTGCAAGATTAAAGGTGCACCCCACTAAGAGAAAAGAGAGGCCAAGGCTTCACCAACTATATCTGCTTTTTTTGTTTTAAGTGGAATAGCCCACAAAAACTTTGAAAAAATGCAAACTATTGTAAGAAGCCAAGAAAATCCATTATTCATATCTTTGTAAGCTGTAAAGTCTATAAGATCCATTTGTATATGCTCCATTGGTCTGTAGCTTACAACAGGGATTAGATCATCCTTTTCTTTAATCAAAGTAGTTTGATTACAAGTATTACAGTTTCGAACATATTCACAAACATCTTTTTTTGTGATACTAATATGATGTGTCATAATTTTTTTATAACAATCATTCGCATTAATATGATGGTCATTGTCATAGAATTGTTTAAACAAAGATAAATAAAATTCAATATTCTAGATAGGTACAAAGTGTCTAAGTAGCTGGTTATTAAGTTAAACATGAAGATAATTATTTTCTAATCACCAAAGTTTCATCTTACATTTAAAATTCTATCAATATTTCGATTTAATAGAAGTAGATATTGTTCTAGTTTTAAGATAATTGATTATATCTTGATATGATTCAGGTGTTTTTGGAAATCAGCTTTGTAAACTATAGTATGAATTTTTTTTTTTGGTATGCCAAAGACTTTTTTTTTTTTCAAAAATTTTTTTTTTTTTATTTTTTTTTCATTTTTATAATTTT